TCAACAAACCAACATCTTCTGTCTCTTCTACCCTGTCCTCACCCATGACTCTCATTCACCCCTCCTCCCCCCCCCGTCCTCACTTGTCTCCCCCCTCACAGACACATAAATACATATACACAGCCTGTTGTCTGACGAGCATAAAAGCGTGGCTGCTTTGCATGTCTTATCAGCCGCTGATTGATAGTCGGCTGTTCTGCTCTTATCGATTCTATGCTCTTCATATATTAACGTGAGGAAACAGAGTCGAATCACCGCTGGAACACGGCCCTGAAATACGATCTCCCGCCCGCTCTCCTCGATAGCGGGGCTAATCTGCACCAACCTAATTCATTCCTAACACCAGCTCCGACTCCCACCTCACCCGCCAGCGCCCCCTCCACCCCCAGAGACTGAGACAGTGGGGCTGTGTTTTCTGCAGCGCTGATAGATGTTACTTTATGTTTATTAGCTGTGAGGTATTTCAGCAGCTTATCTGGAAATTACGCGGGGCAGAGCCCGGCCGCCCGACTCTGTAAAATGACTCAATCAGCCGTGGAATTTGAAGTAATTTACGAGGTTTGAGAGGCAGTAATGATTGCACCACGCACACAGTCATGTTTGTGTTTGCTGGATGTTGATGTATGGACGCGTGAGGAGACGGAGCTGCCGCTCTGCCTTTTCTGAAAGTGATATTTTATTGCTTATCGGAGAAAATGTAATATGTAGTAGCATAGTGTCGCTGTTATCTGTTCACATCCTTTAAAGCTGCTGCTGCTGCTGCTGCTGAGGCTGCTGGTGCTGAGGCTGCTGGTGCTGAGGCTGCTGCTGCTGCTGAGGCTGCTGCTGCTGAGGCTGCTGGTGCTGAGGCTGCTGGTGCTGAGGCTGCTGGTGCTGAGGCTGCTGGTGCTGAGGCTGCTGGTGCTGAGGCTGCTGCTGCTGAGGCTGCTGAGGCTGCTGCTGCTGCTGAGGCTGAGGCTGCTGCTGCTGAGGCTGCTGCTGCGGAGGCTGCTGCTGAGGCTGCTGCTGAGGCTGCTGCTGCGGAGGCTGCTGCTGAGGCTGCTGCTGCTGCTGAGGCTGCTGCTGCTGAGGCTGCTGAGGCTGCTGAGGCTGCTGAGGCTGCTGCTGAGGCTGCTGGTGCTGAGGCTGCTGGTGCTGAGGCTGCTGGTGCTGAGGCTGCTGCTGCTGAGGCTGCTGAGGCTGCTGAGGCTGCTGAGGCTGCTGAGGCTGCTGCTGCTGCTGCTGAGCAGATGTGATGGTTTTAGTGGAGCAGATGAATCAGTTGAAACAAACACCGTCTCTGGAATGTTCCATGTCAGTGTGTTCATGTGGAGCTGATCTGAGAACAGTCTGTCCTTCAGTCACTGATGAGTTGATCACAAAAGAGTGTAGAAAGCAATGGAAACAAGTAGTTTTTTTAACAGAAAGAGGATGTTAATATTCACAATCAATATCTTTACAAATACATTATAAAATGTTACACAAACATATTTCTAGAGTTACAAACTTCAAACCAGAACAAATAAAAAAAAAAAAGGGAATTTGGGAAGTAGCTGAAGCATGTTCTCAGTTTGTTTTAAATGGTTCAGTTGAGTGATCTTAGAAGTCATATGTAATGAAGGCTTGATTGATTGATATTTGATCTTCAGATCCAGCACTGGCTTCAGACTCACTCTTTACTCTGTGTGTGTGACGGATTAAAAGGTGTCGTTTTCTCTGTGTGGATTCTTCTCCATAAATATTGGGAGTGTGGAGGTCTGACCTTGTCAGGTGTTGACTGATGTCCACGTGTCCCTCAGTGCAGACAGACGACCGTCTCAGACTGGAGTCCACATCAGGACTCAGACTCAGAAACTGTGATCTTTCTTTTCTTTGTTTCTTTACAGGTCGTTCACTCTGTGACCCTCCAGATGTATGCCAGGCTAATGAGTACAGGCTGTCAGTGTAAAATGTTGGTGGTGTTCACAGTGAGGAGAGAATAATAAGATCAATCATGGTAAAAAGAATTGATGAAGTCATTTTGAGAATAAGGATAATGATAACAGGGATGATGTTGACAATGTTGATAAAGACGACAACAAAGGGGATGATGATGATGAAGGTGATGAAGGGGATGATGGTGATGATGATGATGAAGATGATGATGGTGATGATGATGATGAAGATGATGATGATTATGGTGATGATGATGATGATGATGATGATGATGATGATGATGATGATGATGATGATGATGATGATGATGATGATGATGATGGATGATGATGGTGATGATGATGATGATGAAGATGATGGTGATGATTGTGATGATGATGATGATGATGATGATGATGATGATGATGATGATGATGATGATGATCTTTGATTTGTCTCCTTCATTTCCAGAGTTTCAAACTGAACGTGGACAGTCACTCTGCCCTGAAGGAGAACATCATGGAGGAAGGAAGAGAGCTGCTCACCATCATCACCTCCAACCAATCAGGTTCAGGCAAACACATTAATACACACACACACACACACAGAGGAGTGGATACACACTGGAACACACACACACACACAGGGCTATAACTCTCCCCTCCTCAACTCTGTTCCATTTATTATTAATATTAGGATTAACAGAGTGACCTTCAGAGAGAGGGGCTCATATGAGAGAAAGAGATGAAGATTAAGACAGAAGGAGGAGGAGGAGGAGGAGAAGCCAGTGGGTAGAAACTCAGGCAGGGGGGGAGAAAAACATTGGATCAAATTTTATTTTTTCTCACATCTTTGCGGGCGATGAAAGATAAAGGGAGGAGGAATCTTATGTGTTCTAATGTTGGGGAGTGAATCCAGACCTGACTGAGACCTCACAAAGGTGACAACGAAGACACACAGGTGTGTGTGTGCGGTTGGAGTGTCCAGATGTGACAGATTATTATTATTATTATTTGGTTCCACTCCTGGCCTCACACTGTCGGCTGGTTATTCTACTTCTAGACAAATGTTGGCTTGGATTGACTCTCTGTTCACACTCTAATCACCAAACACGGCTGTGATTGGCCCTCGCCCTCATTTGGTCCTCCTGTTTATCTGATGAAGTCAGCACTGATTTGATGTTGTCCCTGCCAATATTTCGGTCTTGTTTTAATCAGTGGACTAAGTTCCATCATCGTCATCACACTCTTGTCTTCAAATGTCACTCATTTCCACCACCACATCAAGCTTCCTGTTCCTCCTCCATAAGTGACTGTGGAGAATGTTTACTGAGACACACATTCACTCAGAAGTCACATCGTCGTCACCCAGGGTTTTAATGAGTTCTGTCGTAGCCAGCGGTGCTGTGTGCAGTGTTTCACCTTTGAAGTAGAGCAGCAGAGCGACTTCTCCAGCGTAACCGGCTGCACAGATGATAACGCTGTCATTTAACAGTAATTATCAGGCGCTCACCTTTACTGCTGCTACAACAGCATCAACTTTTGACTGTAAGAACAGACACAGTCTGTGAGGCTGTTCTCCCTCAGTCCAAAAAGCTGCTGGTCGGGGATCAGGTGAAGTGTTCGCTCTAACCTCACCAGAGGTGTGAGTGTAGAAGCTGAATGAGTGGACGACAGTGTCAGTCACCTGGACCTCGGTGTCTTCCTCTTATATAAACTCTCACCCTGCAGGTCTGAAGGAAATCCTCCACATGGTCTCCACTCAGTGGGATCAGCTACAGAAACAGATCCGGCGCCAACATGGCTGGATGCTGCGATCCCTGCGATGCGTTCAGGCCCGCCTCCTCTACACCAGCCAATCACAGGAGCCCATCACAGTGACAGCCGATGGCCTCAAGGTGAGTCTCCCTCTCTTCATCTCTTCATCTCTTCATCTGTCTTTTGTTTTGGGGTTGATTTCCTCCCAGTTGATCCTCGTGATCCGTCACACTTCCTGTGTGTGCGCGTGTGCGTGCATGTGGAAATACATTTGTTTAATTTAAAGCAGCAGGTCGCTACTGTCACTGTCATGAAGTCACGTGTCTTTACTCTTACAGTTTAAATCTACAAAAACACCAACGACTAGTTTTCCAAATGAGTGGGAGATTCATCTTGTTCCTCTACCTCTGTTTGTCCATTCACTTTTGTTTTTTGTTTTTCTCGTCTTCTTTTCATTTTCTTCTCTGTTCTTCCATCCTCTTCTCCCCCTCCTCCTCCTCATCCTCCCTCCTCAATCAATCCTCCCTCCTTTTTTTCTGTTTCTTTTTCCACTTTCATCTTTTTTTTAATCCCACTCTCGTTGTTACACCTCCACCTGTTCATACTTGACCATTTCTCCTCCTCCTACTTCTCCTCCTCCTCTTCATCCTCCTCCTCCTCTTCATCCTCATGCTCTTCATCCTCCTGCTCCTCTTCCTCCTCCTGCTCCTCTTCCTCATGCTCCTCTTCCTCCTCCTCCTCCTCCTCCTCTTCCTCTTCCTCCTCCTCTTCCTCCTGCTCCTCCTCCTCCTCCTCCTGCACTAAAACAGACTCTGATAGTTTTCAGATTGTTTAGTTGCAGTTGGAGCTGCAGCAGTCTGATCACTGTGATCAGTCAACAGTGACAGCCATTAACCAGCTACTACTGGTGTGTGTGTGTGTGTGTGTGTGGGTGTGTGTGTGTGTGTGTCCATTAGCTGCCTGGCTGCAGCACATTAACAGTCCATTCATTACCAGTGTGAATGTCCTCCTCCACTTAAAGCTCTGATCCATAAAAACCATCCATACAACACACACACACACACACACACACACACATAAACAGTACAAACATACCAGTGTTATATATTTCTCTTGTGATATTGTAATTTATTTACATTAAACTAAAAATAACCTGAGGAACCTTTTCATAGTTGAAGGAATCAGACTTTTCTGTTGGAGCTTCTTCATCCACCTGTGTTTGTGTTGACTTGAACCTCAGAGAGTCTGTCGTCCACATCAACAACACCAACAGTCCATACATCTGAATCCCTCAACGTCCTAGAAAGAAATCCCTCTTTAAGGTTTTGGACTGAAAGATTTAGAAAGAGTCAAAAACGTCTGTTTTACACATCGCAGGACGAGGCTCACGTTGGAACTGAACCAAAGGAACTCTCCAAGGTGCTGAAAAGTGTCGAACGTCAACGACAAACATCTGTGGTCCAGAGTGTGTC